GCTGGAAATTGGTAACGGAAAGGTGCCAGTTGATTTGACCTCAGGACGAATTTCGTTGCCTCATAACTTCTGCAATTTAGTGATGTCAAAAGAAGAATTGGTTGAAAAAGTTTTTCCCAATATTCAAACCAATTATAAGAATCACGATTGGCTGAGTGAATGAGCTATTCTTGCGGCCAAGAACAAAGACATCTACGAACTTGACACTATCATTCAGTCTAACATTCACTGCGAGGCAGTCACATACAAGTCCGTTGACACTGTTGTGGAAGCAGATGAAGCGGTCAATTATCCAACAGAATTTTTTAATTCACTCGATCTGCCACAGCAACGCGTCGCTGGGTACAGCTAGTATATATATATTGCACATTTATCTTGTGTCTGTCCTTGAAAGTTTTTATTACACTTCCTCAACACACATTCATGATACATTTTGAATCTGTGATAAGTGGTATGCTTGTTGCAGTTCTTTGGTAATTACAAAACCTTTTGTTACATGATTACCCATATGTATCTTTGAGAGTGATCCTCTTTATAATAGTCTTATTTCCTGTATTGAAGTTACATTTTTTTGTGATCAAGATTTCAAATACTGTGTATATCAGAATGCAGTTACATACTTTAGCAAAGTCCACAATTGCAATGTTTTATACCTTGTTCTGTACCTTTACTTTTTATTAAATTGTCAGTTAAAACATATTATCTACACACAATATTCTAATCTTAAAACCTGACTATTCTTCCATCTCAAAATCTCTGTACTTCTCTTTTATGAAATGTATTAATATCTTGAGATGGGTTTGGTTAAATGTATTTGTTACAGATATTTCTGTGTAGTTATCACAACATTTTTTTGGTACCTTGTATATGTAGGTTATCCATGCAGTTTTTGTTATAGGAGAAGGGACACGAACCTACTTGGTTTATAAATTTTAACTTAAATAACAAAGTTTTAAAAACTTTAATATACCAAGAAAGCTGCTGTAGTTGTGGAAAAGTTGGATTTTGTATATACTGTGCATTACAAACATTGTATGAATATGTATTTACCACTCAAAATACCCATTGTGATAGTAGTTTCCAAAAAGTATCGATGTCCCTCTGATGATGGTGTATAGGGACCGAAACATGTAAGAGTGTTAAGTTTTCAAGTAGTAAAAACTTCAGTAGTCACACTGGATGGAGTTGTTTTGGCTTTGTAATTTGTTAGTGTGACAGACCAGAATGAAACTAATTAAAAAAAATATATACAAGAAACTTGGTTATAGCAACATCGGTTTCTGCGACACCTTGTCTATTGCATCAAATTCAATGGTACGAAATAATTCCTACTAAAGCATATCATTTTATATC